AGAACCACAGCTAACTGACCGGTTCCTGCTCTGATTAGCCGTTTCGGATTGTGTCACGCCTCTGACCTGTGACAGCAGCTTCTTCAGCAGCTGAGCGATGGCCGGGTCGTCGGGGGTGGGGCACTCTGGGATGGACCCGATTCTCTTCTTCTGGCGCAGCAGCAGGTGGCGGAAAAGGCTGGCGATGTCTTTAGAGCGCAGGGCGTAGTCGAAGATGGAGCGGCTCACCGGCTCCTTTAAGACGCTCAGCAGGACCAACTCCTTATCGATCTGAGGGGAGACGGACGGGTGAGGGAGGGGGGAGGCGGCAGCGTGAGGATGATGAGAGGAGGACTCACCTGGATGATGGGCTGTGTGACAAACGGGTTCAGGTGCGGCATCAGCTTGCAGTAGACGTCGGCAACGTTGAGGTGCTGCGCCACCATGGTGATGAAGCCCACGGCGCCGTAGCGGATCCACAGGTTGGGGTGACACAGGAAGGGAGCTACGGCAAGCAGAGGGGGTGGTGAGACAGCAGATACAAACAGAGGAATGGGACGGGTCGCTGCGGACGCCGTTACTGAGGGAAGAAGAGTTAAACAGGAAGCTGGGACGTCAGACGTCATATCAGGCTGCAGGAAGGCGAGAGAGAGCGAGACTTCCAGTAGGTTACAGAAACGCTCACTGACGACCTCCGAGTGAAAAAAGGCAGGTTAGATCTGGATCATCAGTCAGTTTCAGTAGGACTTATGTTCAGCATTAGATGCTAACGCTGGAGGAAAATGTTGGTTAACGACTTATTCTATCTACGGCTAAATTAATCGGATAAATAGATTATTGAAATAATCGTCAACTAATTTATTAATTAATTAAGAGTTAGCTGGAGTATAGAGACTGTAAAACATACCTTTAGCTGACAGAGCGACCCACTTTTGAGCAGGAATTATATCAAAATTATAAAAAAATATACAACCATTTTATATTTAAAAAATAATTGACAGATTAATATGGAAGAAAAACAGGCTCATTGGAACCTGCCTTTTTTTTTAACACCGAATTTTAAACACTGAATTTTTTTAGACACTGAATTCCTTACACTAAATTTTTATCTGGTAAAAATTCACCAGAAAAAAATTCTGCTGCAAAAGTGTTGACCTTTAGGTGAACTCAAGCCAAAGCAATCTACACTCGAGCAGCTTCTAGCCAATGAAATGAGCTCATTTGGTCACGTGACTCAACGGCTGAGTTCCCGGCTGAATGAGGATTTTTGAATTTTTTTTGTTAAACAGATAGAATTACAAAACTTCAGTTAGCTACTAACAGACAGCTAGAGTGAGTTAAATTTGGCACTACTATTTATGTAATAATATTACATAAAAATGTGGAATTTTTATGTAATATTATTTTCATTATGGGAAAATTCTTTATCCACAAGTTTCTCCAAATTTTCAAGCATTCTAAAATGATATTAAAAGTTTTCATGCATCAATTAAGTTACTGGAGAACAAAAAGGCCTTAAAGTTTTCAGACTTGATAGTAATAAACTTTAGCTAAACTCCTGTGGTTTTTTTATTTTAATTTTCTTTCTTATTCTTTTATATTGTTTCTTTTTCTGAAAGAAAACTGTTATGGATTGCATATGTTCAATTATACGTTTCAGCTTTTCAGAAAGTGTTTTTTGGATTTATGAAAATAAAAGTAAAAAATTCCGTAAAAATTCAAAAAATATCCACTGGACTTGGTTTTCAAGATTTGAAGACGTTTCGCCACCTCTCCAGGAAGCTTTCTCAATTCAAATGAATGGCTCCCCTGTTTGCCGAGGCTCTTGGTTTGATCCGGAAGAAGCAGCCGGCGGCAAACTTTTTTTATTATTCATTTCGGCCAGAGGCAACATGGCGGCGGCAAACAGACAGGGGAGACGTACTAACTGTGATCGGCTCAGTCGTTTCACCCAGTCTGATAAGAGTAAAAACTCTAATAGCTGTCTGTTAGTAGCTAAATGACGTTTCGTAATTCTATAAAAATAAAAATAAAAAAAAATTCAGCCAGGAACAGCGCTGAGCGCAGCCGTTGTGTCACATGACCAAATGAGCTAATTTCATTGGCTAGAAGCTGCTCAACTAGATTGCTTTGGCTTGAGTTCACCAAAAGGTCAACACTTTTGCAGCTGAATTTTTTTGCAGCTGATTTTTTTTCCTGGTGAATTTTCACCAAATAAAAATTAAGTGTAAGGAATTCAATATCTAAAAAAAGTTCAGTGTTTAAAATTCGTTGTAAAAAAAAAAAATTCAGTGTTTAAAGTTCGTTGTTAAAAAAAAAATTCAGTGTTTAAAATTCGGTGTTAAAAAAAATTCAGTGTTTAAATTTCGTTGTTAAAAAAAATTCAGTGTTTAAAATTCGGTGTTAAAAAAAAATTCAGTGTTTAAAGTTCGTTGTTAAAAAAAATTCAGTGTTAAAATTCGGTGTTAAAAAAAATTGAGTGTTTAAAATTCGGTGTTAAAAAAAATTTAGTGTTTAAAGTTCGTTGTTAAAAAAAATTTAGTGTTTAAAGTTCGTTGTTAAAAAAAATTGAGTGTTTAAAGTTCATTGTTAAAAAAAATTGAGTGTTTAAAGTTTGTTGTTAAAAAAAATTTGGTGTTAAAAAAAATTGAGTGTTTAAAATTCGGTGTTAAAAAAAATTTAGTGTTTAAAGTTCATTGTTAAAAAAAATTGAGTGTTTAAAGTTCGGTGTTAAAAAAATTCGGTGTTAAAAAAAATTGAGTGTTTAAAGTTCGTTGTTAAAAAAATTCAGTGTTTAAAGTTTGTTGTTAAAAAAAATTTGGTGTTAAAAAAAATTGAGTGTTTAAAGTTCGTTGTTAAAAAAAATTCAGTGTTAAAATTCGGTGTTAAAAAAAATTCTGTGTTTAAAGTTTGTTGTTAAAAAAAATCGAGTGTTTAAAGTTCGTTGTTAAAAAAATTCTGTGTTTAAAGTTCGTTGTTAAAAAAAGTTCGGTGTTTAAAGTTCGGTGTTAAAAAAATTTCGGTGTTTAAAATTCGGTGTTAAAAAAAATTGAGTGTTTAAAGTTCGTTGTTAAAAAAAATTGAGTGTTTAAAGTTCGGTGTTAAAAAAATTCGGTGTTAAAAATAATTCAGTGTTTAAAATTCGGTGTTAAAAAAAATTGAGTGTTTAAAGTTCGTTGTTTAAAAAAATTGAGTGTTTAAAGTTCGTTGTTAAAAAAATTCAGTGTTTAAAGTTCGTTGTTAAAAAAATGTTGGTGTTTAAAGTTCGGTGTTAAAAAAAAGGCAGATTCTAATGAGACTGTTTTTCTTCCATAGATTAATCGATTTGCAAAATAACCGTCGGTTGCGGCCCTAATTCTATCGCAACTCTGCAGACAGAAAGACAGACAGACGTCTGCTGCTACATTTTTGTTCCCGACTTTTCCTGAAGAAGTGAGACTTCCTGAAATGAAAGTAAAGCACGGATCGGCTGACGTTACCGATGTCGCTGACGAACTCGTAGATGTGCGGTTTCTGCAGCAGACCCAGCTGGCACATGCAGGTCAGGGCGTTCAGAGCTTTGTAGATGACGAACTCCTCGGTGTCGCTCAGTCCCTGCTGCAGCAGAGGCTTGAGGATGGAAGAGCTCTGCCAGCCCACGTACGCCGCCACTCCTGCAACACGACAGCGATGAGAACGGCGAGTCGGCAGGCCGCCACCGTGCGGCTGCCTCTGCCTGATGCTCACCCACGATGCTGTCGAAGAAGGCTCCCCTGAGGTGCCAGTCGTTCTTGTCGTTCAGGAAGGTGATCATGTGGGACAGCAGGACGTCGTTGGCCTTCTGCCTGCCAAAGAACACGCAGAGCCGCGTGATGCCGTTCTCCATCAGCGTCTGTTTGACGATGTTCTCCGAGTCGCTGAGCAGCGTCACCACCTTCTGCTGCACCATCTCGTGCAGCGCCTGGAGTTCTGCGGGTCGGAAACGCGGCAGGTTCAGGGAACCGATACGGCAGTAAGACGCTGAGACCCCCCCACCTCCCACCGGGCTGTACCAGAGTCGTAGTTTTCGTTGGGATGGTTGTTTTCCTCCGTCTCTTCTCCGCTGGGATCCTGCTCCATGTTGACGTTGTTCTCCTGAACCAGTTCCAGGAACCGCAGCGCACTCTCTGCCAGGTGAGCAATGTTCTCTAAGCAGAGACGACGTGAACATGGAGAGATTTTAGTTTCCAGCTCAGAACTGGGAAAGTTATAAATACGATGGATTCAAGACATTTTAAAATCTCCAAATTCTGCTCCTGACCTGCGTACGCCAGCCTCACGATGGTGGCGTCGTCCTGGGCCAGGTGGGCGATGCCCGGAAGGATGTACTCCGGGTAGATGTTCACGTCGTTCCTCGGCACCTCCTTCACCAGCGCCAGCACTTTGGTGAGAGTCCTAACAGCCTGGGCACGCACGCGCGGCGCAGGGTCGTTGCAAAAGTGCAGCAGATACGGCGTGATGCGGTCCAGCAGGATGTCGACGGACAGCCGGGGAGCCAGGTGCAGGACGAGCTCCAGCGCCGCCAGCTTGGAGTCACAGGAGTGCAGCGTCTGCAGGCAGGAGGTGATGACCGACACAAGCACCACCAGGCCCTGCTCCTCCCTGGAGCTTAGTGCGCCGCCGCTGCCGCCACCGCCGCGTCCCGGAGAGGAAGGGGAGGAACCTGAGGGGAGAAAACGTATCAGTCAGGAGTTCTGGGATCTCAACTATAAAATAAATCTAGATAAAACAAAAAAAAGAAAATCCTTATTAGAAAAGAAAAGCAAGTAATTTTCTTTACTATTGATTTATCTGATTTCGAATCTTCTATTTATTATTGTGGATCTTTAAAATGGGCGTGGCTTAATGCGGCAGTCAGTGTATTAAACCGCTTTTTTCTTTAACATTTATCTAAACAGGCAGTTCCATTGAGATCCAACATTAATTTGATGAAAAGAAACAAAAATAACATTTTACTGATGCAGGAACGATGCCGGAAACAATTAATCGGATTAATCGATTGTTGAAATAATTGTCAACTAATGTGGTTCCTAGAATTTCTAAAAGTAGAATGGGAGGCAGATCTTTTAGTTCTCAGGCTCCTCTCCTGTGGAACCAACTACCAGTTTTAGTCCGTGAGGCAGACACCCTGTCTACTTTTAAGGCTAGG